TGAAAAAACATGCATATAATTTTAGCTGACATTTAAAAAATTAATTTGATAACACATCGTGAACAGATTTGTGGTGCAGTCCAGTTTTTATGCATAGTGATATGCTTATCCGGAACAGAGCAGGCTCTTAATAAGACACTTTAAATAAAATATAAGTAGAAATAGAAGTAGCAGTAGAAGTAGAAATTTTAAGAAAATATGTAATATTCTTTGTGGTATAAATATTTAAACATTCGACTTAAATATTTCTTAACAATCCATAATTATTTACAGATTCGAAAGCTATTAATCCCAAAGATATAAATCAATGGAACATTGTACAAATTGTCCCCACCAATAGTCAGTCTAACAACAACTCTCCACCCTACGCAGCACCTCCAGGATTTGTTTGGATTCAAGCACCCGCTTCAAATTTTGCAACTTCTTTAGGAGGTAAGAGATAAATGAAGACACGAGTGCATGAAAGGTCTGTAATGTGACATTTACAAGTTATTTAGAAAAATGAAGGTAAAGTTTTTATACTAGAATTTTTTACCTACTATAAGATCCAAATAGACTAAATTTATAGGATAGGTATTAAAAAATATATTATTAGAAAAAAATTTAGAACTTAAAACTACTTAGATCCTTGATCCATTAAGTAAATGGCAGAAGTACCAAATTGTTTAAATGCATATAGTATATATGTAACCAACAATATACAGGGTGAGTCATGAGGAACTTTACATACTTCTACCATATGTAGAGTCCCTCAGGGAGCATATCATGTGGTCACTAAAAAATGTCAACTCCTCTTCTTTTTTAATTAACAGGGTGATTTGTGTAATTGACCAATTATTTCATTTTACTGTAGTGTTTATACAGCTCATTTGATTTTTTAAATTTTTGTATGATACAGTAAACTACTATCAAGCATTCGACTGGTATTAGCTAAACTAAAAAATTCCAGGACTGGCTTTGGAAAAATTAATTTAGGGATTCGTATTAAATATTACACCCTGTATATATTTTTTTTAAAATGCAATAAGTGATTTTCAAACTACATAAATATCCAATGAAAATGACATATACGACAATGTTGTCGCACTTTTATTAAATTTTTAGTGAAAGATCAAATCTTACCAAAAATAGAACAACCATAATGAAATATCAAATTATAAGGTTATTAATTTATACAAATGTTATAAATTTTAAACATTTTAATTGAAATGATAAACTGAGTCACTGCACAACAAAAAACAGTAACTACTAACAATAACGAAGAACAATTAAAAAAAAAACTAAAAATATGTACATAGTTATGAAAAACCCATAAATTAGAACTGGAAAAGATACAATAACGGTAACAAAATAAAAATAATTCAAAATAGATTTTCGAAATGGAACCCTGCAGCCTGTACACATTTTTGTTGCCGAATTGTTAATTGACGTAACGAATTACGGATACTCTGGGGATCGTTTCTAATAGTATTACAACAATGTATAATTCTATCAATTAATTGTTGTCGGTTATTAATATTCACTGCGTAAACTAGTTGCTTCAATCGTCCCCAAATATGGTAATCAACGGGATTGAAATCAGGGGATCTTGAAGGCCAGGAAATAGGACCTGCACGTCCTATCCACCTGTTGCCATAAACATTATTGAGATGTTGTCTCACTGCCAGTAAAAAGTGTGGGGGTGCCCCATCATGCTGAAAATACATCCCTCGGATAGCAACGTTCGCGTTGGCAAGCAAATTCGGCAAAATATTTTGTAGAAAGTTCAAATAGACCTGCCCTGTTAAAGGACCATCAAAAAAGTGAGGGCCTACTAATTGGTTATTTATGACACCAATCCACACGTTAACCGAAAACCTTAACTGAGAACGACGTTCTCGAATAGCATGGGGATTTTCTTCTGCCCACACATGTGAATTTCGGGAATTATTTATCCCGTCTCTGGTAAATTGGGCTTCATCTGTAAATAGTGTAGCGTTGGTCGATTATTGTTAATCCATCTACAAAATTCCAACCTATCGATCTCATCTCCAGCATGTAGTCGCTGAACCATTTGAATGTGATATGGGTATAGATTATTTTTTTGTAAGACTCTACTTACTTTTGATTGAGTAACATTGAGTTCTCGACTTACTTGTCTAGAGCTTATTGTAGGGTTCATAGTAACGGCGTCCATAATGTCATCTTCCTGCGCTTCATCTACATGTCGCTCTGTTGTTCAACTAGGAAAAGTGCCGTTTTCTCGCAAATAATTAAAAACTGACCCAAATGTTGGATGACTAGGAGTTAGACGATTAGGAAATCTCCTGCGATATTCTCTACTAGCAGCCCTCCCATTCCCATTACAGAATCCATAAACAAATATTATGTCTGCATATTCTGTAGTCGAAAACTGATGTGGCATTTTGAACGAAAGTAACAAAAGCTCTACCAAAACTAACACAATGTACTTAACGTAGATATGACAGAAGAAATATGTATTTTTGTACACATAAATAACAATTGATAATGACAATAATGACAATGGGTATAAAATATCAAGAAACGTCAAACGGTCAACGCCAACCTTCATTTTAAACTTTTTTAGATTTATTTTTATTTAGTACAGTTGATGCAATGTATTATTATTTGACATAAAATTTTAATCATTTACAATCAACGAAAAACTAACACATACAAGAGGTTTGACTTTTTAATCAATTTAATTTATTATTTATCGAAAATAATGCCCCAATACGATCTATGAGTAAAAATTTTAAATTGAAAAACAATTGATTCTATCGTAGAGATAATACAAAGTGACAGTAAAGATGTTAATTTTCTACGTATTAGATTATGTTGTAGGAACTCATTTTAATTAAAATGTTTGAAATTTATAACATTTGTTTAAATTAATACCTTATAATTTGATACTTCATTATGGTTGTTCTATTTTTGATAAGATTTGATCGTTGACTAAAAATTTAATAAAAGTGCGACAACATTGTCACGTATGTCGATTTCATTGGCTATTTATGTAGTTTGAAAATCACTTATTGCATTTAAAAAATATATATACAGGGTGTAATATTTACCAGTCGAATGCTTGATAGTAGTGTACTGTATCATGCAAAAATTAAAAAAATCAAATGAGCCGTATAAACACTACAGTAAAATGAAATAAATAGTCAATTACACAAATCACCCTGTTAATTAATAAAGAAGAGGAGTTGACATTTGTTAGTGGCCACATGATATGGATAGCGCTAATCGAAAAGGAACCAAGCGACATTTTACAAAAAATGAGTTAATAGCACCAATAAATAGCCAGATATTCACTTTATATGTGTAAAAAAATCCGTACGGCTCCGGAGCTTCTAGCGACATCTGTACAAAAAAGGTCCAAGCGACAATCGGAAAATCGGGCAGTTTTCTTTAATATAAAAAGAACCAAGCGGTGGTACTTTGTAGAAAAATTATTGGTGTCGCTTGGATCTTTTTAAACTTTATGTGATTCTGTAGCGACCGGTAGCAATTTTCTTTAGCTTAAAGGTATAAAGTGAAAATAATAAGTGAAAAATGAGTGAGCGATCCAAATTAATCCTGAAAAAAGCTCTATTAGAGCCAAAGTCTACGGAGGCAACTCCATTGGAAACGAAACGACTTAAAACCAGCAGAAACAACTTGGTAAGTTTTTTTTGTTTAAGTTATTTGTTGGTTTTAAAACAAATTGTTTATTAGTTTTACATTTACTTTTAAAATAACTATTATAGGTTTATTTTACACCGATAGAAAATAGATTTTGTATTATTTTTATTACTTATAACATGGTAAAAAATATTTCCCGGTTATTGGTTCCTGTTATATTTTTGCAATAAATGGAACCAAACGACATACAAGGCGGTTGGTTCTTTTTATATTATTGCAGTAATTGTAAAAAACCACCTGCTTGGGGATGATTCTTTTTGTAAAAAATCATTGTTTAATGTTTTAAATGAGTTATTTATATTTTTACCATTTCTTTTTTATTAATAGGAACCAGATTTTAAAACAAATTGTTTATTAGTTTTACATTTACTTTTAAAATAACTATTATAGGTTTATTTTACACCGATAGAATATAGTTTTTGTATTATTTTTATTACTTATATCATGGCAAAAAATATTTCCCGGTTTGTTGGTTCCTGTTATATTTTTGCAATAAATGGAACCAAACGACATGCAAGGCGGTTGGTTCTTTTTATATTATTGCAATAATTGTAAAAAACCACCTACTTGGTGGATGATTCTTTTTGTAAAAAATCAGTTTTTAGTGTTTTAAATGAGTTATTTATATTTTTACCATTTCTTTTTTTATTAATAGGAACCAGATTTTACAAAAAAAGAAATAGAATATCCCAGTTTGAGTGCAAATGATGATGATGTGAACCTAAGGGTACCAAATTCAGACAAAATAATTGTTCAAGAAGTACTTATCTTACAGAGTCCAGTAGAAACAATTACTCAGACTGAACCATCGAATTTAACAGGTAGGATTACTTAACCATATCACACATTACTTCAGGTATAAATCTCAAAGTATTTTTAATTTTTTGTTTTAGAAATCGTCAATAATATAAATATATATGGCGAAAGTTCTGATGACAAAAACATTAATGACGGAAATATAGAAAATGCATTTGGCACAAGAATAAATAATTTAAACGTTATTGTTGAAGAAGTTCCGTACGTTGAAGAAAAATATATTTTACCGCTTGCTAATCACACAACTATGAATAACAACCACAATGATAATTCGCAGGAGTACCTTGAGGGTGAAGATTCAGATGATTCCGTTAAAGATAGGGACTATACACCTAATGAATCAGACGAGAGTAGTTCAGAAGACGTTGAAAATAGATTTAATGAGAAAGATCACATTAAAAAAAAAGTTAATCGAGGAGAAAGAATCCTGGAAAGGCAGACCTAAAAAAGGAAGAAATCTGAAATATCCTGGACAAACATTTCAAACTAGAAAGAAAATGAAAGATTCCAATTTAACTCATTATACTGTAAAAGGCAAAATTAGAGAGGCCAAACAGTTTATTGATTACAAATGTACATGCATAAAAAAATGTGGCGAAAATGTAAGCAGAGATGAGAAAGAAATATGTTTTAAAAAATTTTGGAATTTAGCTTCCTATGATTTACAAACTGGTTACATCGGAGCAACAGTAAAAGTAATGCCAATTAAAAGAAAGCGAACAAAGGCAACAGGTAAAACTTATACGAGGAAGTATATGATTGGAGAAAATGACGTTTGTCGAGATACCTATATAAAAACTTATCAAATATCCTCAAAAAGGGTAAATACTGCATTAAATAAAATACGTGTCTCAGATGTAAAAGATAACAGAGGAAAACATGGAGGGAAAGCACCAATACCCGAAGAAACAAAAACTCAAATAATTGAGCATATAAAGAGATTTCCTACTTATATTTCTCACTATTGTCGGTCGGAAACAGAAACAAAATTTTTGCCATTCGATTTAACACAAAAAAAAAAATGTATGAACTTTATTTAGAAGAAAATAATCCAAAGGTTAGTTTTCAATCTTACCAAAATATTTTTTACATGCATTTTAATCTCAAACGCAAACCTCCAATAAAAGACACATGCAACAGCTGTGACAAGTACTCTGCAAAAATTAAAAATACACAAGATGAAAATGAAAAAGAAACTTTTCATAAGTTGCATGATAATCATCTAGAAAAGGCAGAAGATGCTAGAAATCAAATGCAGATAGATTTTAAGGAAGCAACTACTAATCCTACTCTGGAGACCCTGTCATATGATATGGAAAAAGTATTAGGACTACCAAAACTTTCAACAAATATAGTTTATTATAAAAGACAATTAGGTATTTACAATGAGGGAATCCACTCTGCTTCGACTAATACTCCATATTGCTTTTTGTGGAAAGAAGGTGTTGCTGGCAGGGGTGCACAAGAAGTGGGTTCCTGTTTAAAAAAGTATATCGAACTGTATCTCAAGAAAGGTGTCGAAGAACTTATTTTGTGGTCAGATAGCTGCGGTGGTCAGAACCGCAATATTAAAATTGTGCTATTACTAAAAACAACTTTAATGGAACACCCTACGTTAAAGACGATCAAATTAAAATACCTTGAATCAGGACACAGCTTTTTGCAGAATGATACAGATTTCGGACAAATAGAACGTGGAATTAAAAATCAGGTTCGACTTTACACCATGGAAGATTTTGTGAGCGTAATTGAAAGTTGTAAAAAAACTAATAAATTTGTAATAAAATTAATGGAGAGCCAAGATTTTTACTCTACTGAAGACTTGGAAAAAAATATTATAAACCGAAAATTATCTATTCAAAAAGAAAAAATAAGTTGGTTAAAAACAAAAATAATAAAATTAGAAAAGTCGAAACCTTTTTCAATTTCTTTATGTGAATCTCATTCATCTGCTGAATCAATGTTTAAAGAAATAGATATTTCAAAAACCGTCCGACGTCAAAACCCAATATCCCTTAATCCAGGAAATTTAAAAGTACTTTATCCGAATGGAAAAGCTATTTCAAAAGAGAAGTGGAATGACATTAAGTCTTTATTCCAGTTTCTTCCAAAAGATGCCCTTCAATTCTACAAAATTAAAAACGTAAAAGATTTTGAGGATGATATTGAAGGATTTGGTTGCTTACCTGACTTTGATTTGGACGCAGAAGAAATTTAATGAAACACATATTTTTGTTATGTGTTTCATTACATATTCATAATAAATATTAGTTTTAAAAGTTAAGTATTTGTTGTTTGTTTAGAATTTTTGATTTTATGAGTTTTTTGAGATATTTTTATTACTCATCCTAAGAATAAGAAAATTAACGCAGATATTTTTTTGTGAAAGAGAGGTTAGCGTCAGAGGAAAACTGTTAAGTTTCTACACTTGAGTATTATTAGTTTCAGAAGTTAAGAGTTTTTTTGGTTTGTTAAAATTTTTTGATTTAATGAGTTATAATATTCTCTATTATTACTTAAAATGAGAATACGAAAATAATCAAAAATGTATTTTTTTAAAGATTAACTAGGTAAAAACATACTTATACTGTGAGTTTTAGTTTTATAAAGTTTAATGTTTGGTTGAAATTTTCGAGATTTGAATTGCCTTAAAAGTAAATATAAATTTTTACCACAAATATCGTGCTTCTTTTTTTCCACTTTTCTATAGTTTAAGGTTTTCTTGATTAAAAAGTATATACTTTTTTTTTAATAATAAGTATTTTTTTTCTAATAATGAATAGTTAAGTAAAATTTCAAGAAAGAACCATGCCATATTTTTTCATCTCTAAACAGAACCATGAGTCGCATGGTTCCATTTACAGCAAAAAGTAGATTTTCTGAAATAATTCAAAAAGATCCAACCACCAAAACACTGTCAAAAAACAAAAAAAATAAACTTATGAAAAAATAATTTAATAGTGGCTAATATTTGCTTTCGAACGCGGTATCATACCTTAAAATGTCTTGAATAACTTGAAAGTTACAAGAAAAAACATTTTTTATTTTTGTAACCTCAATTACTCAAAATCATATTTTGGCGGTTGGTTCCCTTTCGTTTAGCGCTATCCATATGCTCCCTGAGGGACTCTACATATGGTAGAAGTATGTAAAGTTCCTCATGACTCACCCTGTATTGTTATTGTCTATTAATAATATATACAATAACGATTTCTTGATACAATTTTTACAAAGATAGTAAATTAAATTAAAACAAATCTTGATTTTCACTACAAAGAAACCTTAACGTGTTCTTCGCCTATAAAGTACTTGGTTTTCTGCCTAGATCTGCATCTTGTTGCTTTTCACAAATAATATTGATGTAAAAATGTCTCTAAGACTCATCAACAAAAATTAACTGTTGTTTTATTGTTAATTTTTTCTTCGGTCAAAGTGTTTCTTTTGTCAGCCATTACTGGTAAATTTAATTCTGGTTCTATAACAACTTTTGTATTTTTATGGATATCTACTTTTAGGAAAGGTGTGAATATATTCGGTATTTTTTTGTACATATATTCACCATATTTTTAACAGGAATCTATTTTACATCATTCCTCATATTTATTTTCTTTACTGTTAAATAAATGTAAATTGCAATTTCTATTTTTAAAGTGGTTTTCCATGTTGATAACAATCGATCCTTTCTTACTCCCGAATAACGTATCTATACTGATCTGGACTGAACAAATTCTCAATTTTTCTTAGCTTTTTCTCGATTACTCCAAAATCTCTGTCAGAATCTAGGAAGGAATATCCTACTTCCGGAAACTTATGGTCTACCTACTTCTAAGCTGCTCTTTGTGACTACATTTTCAGTCCAATTAAAAAAGTAGGACTTATCACCTTCATTTGTTATGCTGTGAATCCCAAGATTGTAGAACCACATCTGTCGTAGATAAAAAGCTTTTGAAGTTGTATGTCTTGGTAGCGGCATAGTCTGTTGCAGGTCTATGGTCATATAACACATGTTTTTATTGTCACGCGCATATTTACTTTCTGCTTTCTGTTGGTCAAAAGCAAAATGGAAATTTTCTTTATGCACATCATATCCCAAACTTGCATTACAGGTAGAACAAGTGTCACTCTTGGGCCGTCCAAATGACAAGTTAAATTCTATAATGAAAATGTTACAGTAGAAACTCTTTGTTACTAAATACCTTTTACCCAGTTTATTTTCTTAAATATATTGTTCATATAGTTTGTGCATTTTTGACATATTTAGTAAGAGAGGTAAATAAATTTTGTTGGCATTTTTGTTTCTGGAATAGTGAAACATGTTAGCAGGAAAAGATAAAATGTACTATTTGATCACATCAATCACTTCTTGCGGAATTTTGTTCTTGGGATGTCTTGAGGCATCTTACGTCGATTATTTTTGATATCTGAATTGTTGTAGTGTTCCTGCCATTTTGTTCGTTTGAGAGACCTGAATACAGATACTAAATCTCCCATGAGAAGTTAATAGGTTTGCAGAGTAGAGTGGATTCTATCATTGTTGCTTTTTTAGCCAGATCATCTACTATTTCGTTGTTTTTTATACTAATATGCGCTTTTATACAGCACAGTATGATATTTTTGCCCGATTTCAAAGATTCATTGTTCAGTGCTATGATGTCACTGATAATATTAGTGACATCATAGCACTGAACAGTGAAATTTTGTTCTTGTGAAAGGGGATTCTATAACGGAAGCAAGATGCATAACAATAATATTTAAATCAGCAGGTACTCTTTGTATCATTCATAGGGTCCAATTTTATTTTATGGACGACAACTCTTTCAAATCGTGCTAGAATCCTTATTTACTATATAGAACAGGTCGAGAGTGTTCATATAAATTGGTCAGCCTACAGTCTCAATCGATATTTATGGGACATATGTGGAAGATGGATTCGCGTACTGGTATCCCATATTAACAATTTGGTTCAACTCAGTTCACAGTTTCAGGTAATATGAGACGAATTGGACTGGACGAAAACTTGATGTTCCAGTTGAATGATGAGACATGCTTTGGAATCATCAGGAAATATTAGATATTAATTAACAGATAAAAGTTTTTTATACTGTCATAACTATTATGTTTCATAAATATATTTATTTCAGGAAGTCAGTCTAACTCAGAAACTAAACAACCAAATTATGGTAGTAATAATCCGATAACAAGTCCAGTTACGGAAAGAGTTTCTGGTAAGATATTTAATTTTTAAAGTTATACTTCTACACGCGCGTTCGACGTTGGAAATTTGTACGGGAGTGAATCGACAAAATCATTACATATTTAAGATACAGGTAAGAGAGAGACAGAAGATATATTTTCTCTCTCTTTCTCTCTCGAGAATAAAAATGTTCCTTTTGTAAATATATTTAATATTTATTAATATTATTATTTTTCCATTCTGTTCAGATTTGTCTTTAGCATGCGTCTTCTTCCTATGCTTCTGCTTCCTTGGATCCTTCCTTGCATAATAATTCTCAGCAGCTCATATTTTTCTCCTCTGGTTATGTGACCAAAATACTCTAGTTTTCTTCTTTTTATGCTGTTCATAATTTCTAACTCCTTATTTAGACGTCATAGTACCTCAGCATTGGTAATCCTTTGAACCCACTGAATTTTTAATATTCTTCTATAACACCACATTTCGAACACTTCTATTTTTCTTATGTGTTGTTTCTTTAATGTCCAAGCTTCCATTCCGTATACTAAAATAGAAAATATGTAGCATCTTAGAGCCCTTAATCTGAGATGCAACTGAAGGTCTCTGTTGGTAAGCATTCTCTTCATTTTCACAAATGCTTGCCTTGCAGTTTCACTTCGGACTTTGATTTCTCTGCTTTGGTCATTTTTGTCATCAACCCAGGTTCCCAGATATTTGTATGTCTCTACTTTTTCTATTTGGGTTTGCTCTATCATTAATCTTTCATTTCCATGTTGCGTTTTTGAGACAATCATAAATTTAGTTTTCCTCTTATTTATTTTTAGTCCGTATCTAATGCAATAATCGTTAATTCTATTTACCAATTCTTGTAGCGATTCCAGGGTGTCTGCCATTATAACGGTGTCATCAGCGAATCTTATGTTATTTACTATTCTTCCGTTTACAGAGATTCCATCACCCAGATCCGCTATCGCTTCCTGGAATATGGCTTCACTGTACATGTTAAACAGTAATGGTGACAGAACACAGCCCTGTCTTACTCCTCTCTTTATATCTATATTTTCGGACTTTTCTTCTTCTATCTTTATATTGGCCTTTTGATTCCAATACAGATTGATAATGATTCGTAAGTCTCTTCTTTCTATATCTTTGTTTCTCAGTACTTCTATTAGTTTTTCATGTCGAACTCTGTCGAATGCCTTCCCGAAGTCGATGAAACAGGAATAAATATCTAGGTTAATATCTAAGCATCTTTGAGCGAGGATATTAAAAGCAAACAATGCCTTTCTTGTTCCCAGTCCCTTGCGGAACCCAAACTGAGTATCATTAATATCATCTTCTAGTTTTCTATATAATCTTCCATGAATCACCTTTAGAAATATTTTGAGGGTATGGCTTATTAGTGATATTGTCGTATAGTCTGAACAATTTTTGGCATATACTGTTTTTTGTATTGCTACAAAGGTGGACACCAACCATTCCTGTGGGATTTTTCCAGTTTTATTTACTTCATTAAATAGGTCCAGAAGTACAGGTAGAGTTTCATCCTCAAATAGATCTGTTGTATGTCTTCCATTTTTTTAATTTCTCTTTAATTTCTATAATGATTTTTCCGTTTGCGTCTTTCAGAAGGGCATCTTTCTTTTTGCTCAGTGTATTTGTTATTTCCTTTATATACACAACAAACAACAATTAAATTTTGTATCAGTCAATGTCAGAAAAATTGACAGTTGTATCACAAAACAATATTTTTATTTTATTAATATTATTATCATGGTAAATTAAACATATGCGTTAGTAAATTATGTATATTGTCATTTTTAAATACTTATGAATATTGCATTTTAATTTGTATTGTATTATTATATTGAATTATTTTGCAGTGTATTGTATGTAATGTATGTATGTAATGAATTTTACTGCATAGTACGTGTATAACATTTTTTTTGCATTTAACTCCTTTCACACATATATGAAAATAAAAATATACATTTTCATCACAATATTGATTTAATCCTTCATTTACTATACTCCTGTTATAGGTCAAATGTTGTTTATATACAGCAAACGATGCACCATATACCTATATACCTAATTATGTTTCTCTTTCGACTCTCTCTTTCCTATAGCATTATATTGTTATGATTGTGCAGATTGACTACCATATAAATTTTTAACGGCGAACGCGTGTATAGAAGTATAACTTCTACCGTCCTGCCACACCCGTTTTTTTATTATATTTTTTAATGTCTTCCTAAAAATGCATCTTTCCCACTTGGAAATGATAATAAAATGCGTATTCAAATAATAATATTTAAGAAGTTCTAAAAACAAAGACTGAGATGTTTGAAGTACATCCAAAAATGCCAGCGCCGAAAAAAAAGTACTAGCTAGGGGAATTGAAAAAAGAAAAAGATAAAACTAAAACCAGATGGAAAGAGGAGGTTAGAAAGGTAGAGAATAATATAAAATCACAAATTGAAAAAATAATGCAAGAAAGGAAAGAGTGAACAAGAATAGTTCAACAATCCAATGGTAATTAGGTCTAAAAGGCTGATTTATGTATAATTAAAACAACCATCAAGTACCAGAAATAAAAAGTGTCTCGCCTGATCATGCGACGGGTAAGAAGAAGAGGTAATAAAAAATGAAGGATAATGAACAATCATTCTGGGTAGTACGAAATTATTTTTGACAAGTGAGTAGAGGATCTTGTATAATATATATATTATAGGTATATATGTATTTACAAATTAGTATAATAATGGAAGATTAGGTATAGAACTTATTATAAGCCAATAATGGGAAATATAAAACAAATTACTTAAATAGATAAAGCAATAATAAAACAATTTTTTCTGTATTTCAAGTGAGAGAATCAATACTCAATCAACGACAAGAATCAACCATACAGGGTAGAGAATCAATATTAAAACGAGTATTCCAATATTTGGGTGTAATGGTCAATAGCAAAAATAATAGAAGTAAAAAAGTAACGAAGTCAAAGTAACGAAGAGCGAATACTAGCAGGCAACCAAACATACTGGAGATATCACAGGCTTAGACAAGAATTTATCCAGAAATACAAAACTGAAAATATACAAAGTTTATTATTATTATTATTATATTAGACTATATTCGCAGTTAGGATAATATGCCTTACAGATAAAGATGAAAAAAATTAAGAATATGGGAAAGGAAAATCCTTAGAAGAATTATGGAACCAATAAGAGTGGAAAACAGAGAAATGACAAAAACAATCAACCATGAACCAACAGACATAATACAGGAAGAAGATGTCGTTCGATTTATTAAAGCGCAAAGATTGAGATGGATCGGGTACATAGACAGGAAGAAAAACGACTTACTCATTAAGAAGGTCTCCAAGTGGAAGCTAGGAGCTAAAAGACCAAAAAAGACCAATAGGAAGAATCAGAGAGAGATGGGAGGAGCAGGTTATGACAGATATCAAAATCCCAAAAGTGAGAAACTAGAGGGAATTATGTACAGATCAAAATGAGTGGAAGAAAATTGTAACGAAAGCCAAGTCATAAAACAAACTCTGTCAATGTAAAAGAAGAATGCGAAGTGTCAAGTGATTAACCGTAATAAGCGAATCTGCGAGCTCTAAGTAAGATCGGCAACAGATCAGGAATGAAAGACCTTGATGATGATGATTCCATTAACATGAAGTAATAAAAGTCAGGACTATTAAGGAGAACAAAGATGAGAAAATCCAATGGGAAAAGGAATCTCCTACTAGTAATTAGTAATAATAGTACAGATTCATTTAGAATTTTAAACTGCTGCGTTAGCCTTTTTGTTTTCTGTACACCGAGCTGGGGATCGAACTCATATCACTCGCAGTAAAGCGAATAAGAAGCCGGCCGACCAGCCCGCTTTGCTATCTGACCGAGTTTTTGACATAAAAATGGTAAACATGAATTGGAATTAATGCTATAGTGGATACCAGATTCTAATTATGCATTCGATTATTAATTTATATATTTAATGTTTTAGAATCAGGTTTAAACAAACTTTGCCTAAACCCTAAAGGACAATTTCCGAGTAAATCTTGCAACAAATTTGTAAATTGCTGGGATGGTATTGCCAGCGAACAAGAATGTCCTCCAGGACTTTTATTTAGCTCAAAAGGATATTGTGACTATCCTGAAAATGTGGATTGTAACGGAAGACCCCAAGGTAAGCAAGATATTATAGATACTGATGCACAAAAAATTTAATTCTTAATATTTTTTTTGCATCTTCAAATGTTTGAATACGCTTTAGAGTTCAATTTTTGATCTTGTCACTTATACTAAATCATCTCATATTCAAAGACATAGGCATAGGCAAAGCATTCGTACTTTTTAACAAAGTCTATTATGGCATTTGGTGACAGTTTTATGAAGTTGTAGCGTGTTCCACCATCTCGCCATCAACCTGATAAAATCTGCAATCCGCACTTCCTGTCAGTCAGATTTTATTCATGTACCACTTCAGGCGATAGTGTCCTAGGAGATCTACGATAATTCGCAGATCATTCCTATTCATATCTAGTAGATCCGTGGTAAGCTGGTCTGTATACCAGCATTAATCTACCATTATGATATTCATTTTATTCGACTCCAATTCATCCCTTCTTGAAAAGACGACGGTAAACGGTTTTTCTAAATTATATGTATTTAGGTAGCATTGCATCTTTTACCATTTCCAACTCTGGATGATTTTTTATTATCTCTCCTGATTTGGTCCTGGAATACCTGCTTCCTGGCGTTTTATCTACCTTCTGTATATTCCTACCTTCGCCTCCTTCTCCATTCGTATATGTAATGGAGGAAGATCAAGTATGACCTCGATATAAGCAGTTGGGGTAGTCGACATCGCTGCTGTTATAATTAAGCATGCTTATCGTTGAATATTATTCATCTTCTTTTTAGTGGTTGTTGGTATTTAGACCACCATATTAGTGCACCATACGTAATTACAGATCTGACTACAGTCATATATAGCCAGTACATCTGTTTAGGTTTTAAATCCCATATTTCCCACATATTCTTCGACATGTTCAAACGGAAACTTTGCTTCGTTGGTTATTCTTACCAAATGGGCGTTCCATGCAAGCTTCTTATCTAAAATTACTTTTAGATATTTGAGCTCATTCGTCTCTTTAACAGTTTCTCTAACAGAGAGGGCATCCAGATGTTATCTAGGTTCGGTCTCCTTGTGAAACTAACTGCTACTGTTTTTTTAAGGATTGACATTTTTCTCTGTCGCATTACGTAGTAAGGATATTTAATTTTTGTTGGAGTGTGCTGAACAAAACATTATCGTATTTCCTTGCTACTTGTTAAATCTTATTTAAAATTTTCGTGAGTTTCTGTATTTAAATTGGTGTTCGCTATTTTAAAATTTTATGTCTAAAAAACTAGCTGCTTTGGTTTTAGTTTTTTTTACTGACATATCTTTTTTTAGAATATTTACTTAGACTTATTTTGCATCTCTTCTTTGCTGTAATACCATTTACATTCTTCATCAAACCCACTTTTCCTCATATTTTCTTCTTTTCCAGTGCTATTGCGCTATATAGAATTAGTTTTTTAATCTTTTCCCACTCCTTATAATGCTTAGGCTGCATTTTCCTATTGTCGGTTTAACATCTTTTATCCACATCTTTGCATTTACAGTTCTTAAACTATTGTTACATCAAACTTTGGAGTATGTATTTACAAATATATTTTTCCACCACTCTATCAAATTCATCATTTTACTCCTAATGTTTTTCTTCTGTCTACACATGAATATTTATTAAACTTATGTTTCTTCTGAAAAATCTTCATTTTATTCTTATATAACACATTGAAATACCCTTTTCACTTTTTGTTTATCATAAAATTCCCTCTAAAGTTTAATTTAATTCACAGCAGAATTGTTTAAAACTCTTGAATATGAGATTAGTGACACACAATTTGGCTTTAGAAATGGTATGAGTACAAGAGATGCTTTGTTCGGTTTGAATGTGCTGGCTCAGAGATGCATGGACATGAATCAGGATATGTACTTATGTTTTGTAGACTTTGAAAAGGCATTTGATAAAGTTCAACATAAAAAGCTTGTAGATATATTAAAAAGCAAAAATATTGACAGTCGTGATCTGAAAATTATATATATATATATATATATATATATATATATCCGGTCTTTTAGGCGTTACGCCCGTCCGGTAGGGATCTATGGATCTATCACCAAGCCGCAAACCCTTATCTCTTGCCGTACTGCTCCACCATAGGCCGATCAGATCCCAGCATATCCTAGTCTAAGCCGCAGATTCATCTAGAATTTTAAACTGCTGCGTTAGACTTTTTGTTTTCAGTACACCGAGCTGGGGCTCGAACCCACATCCACTGAACCATTCGAGAGTGAAGCGAATGAGAGGCAGCCGCACAGCCCGCTGAGCTATCTGACCGACGATCTGAAAATTATATCTAATTTATATTGGAATCAAACTGCCAAGGTAAGAGTTGACAGCCAGTACACCGAAAATATCAAAATACAGAGAGGAGTCCGCCAGGGTTGCGTGCTGTCCCCACTACTTTTCAATGTCTACAGTGAAGCGGTATTTCAAGAAGCGCTCTCAGACTCAATAGAAGGTATATCTATCAATGGAGAAGTTTTGAATAACTTACGTTTTGCAGACGATACAGTAATAATTACGGATAACAACAATGATTTACAGAACCTAATGCAACGCCTTAATGAACGCTGTCATGAGTACGGACTGAAGATAAATTTAAAGAAAACTAAATGCATGATCATGACTAAATCTGCACATGCAAATATCCAATTGACTATTGAAGATACTGCAATTGAGAATGTTAATAACTATAAATATTTAGAAACATGGATAACATCAGATATAGACCAAACCAAAGAAATTAAGACACGTATTGAAATAGCACGTACATCATTTATTAAACTTAAAAAGTTTATTTGTTGTCGGGATATAAGGTTAGAACTACGCCTGAGAATGCTTCGATGTTCTGCTCTACTCTTCTTTATGGTCTGGAAGCTTGGACACTAAAACAAGTTCATCTGAATAACCTGGCCGCCTTTGAATTTTGGTGTGTTACAGAAGAATCCTACGAATATCATGGATTCAAAGAATATCAAACATGGAAGTAACTAGAAGGATAGGAAATGAGGCGGAAATAATATTAACTATTAAAAGACGAAAACTTGAGTACTTGGGACATGTGCTGAGAGGGCAAAAATACGCATTATTACAACTTATTATGCAGGGCAAAATCCGAGGAAAGCGAAATGTGGGAAGACGAAGAATATCCTGGCTTAAGAACTTAAGGAAATGGTTTGAATGCAGTAGTGCAGAACTTTTTAGAGCGGCAGTCAACAGAGTCCGCATAGCCATGATGATTTCCAACCTTCGATAGAAGATGGAACTTAAAGAAGAAAAAAGTTTAATTTTGTCCAAATCGTGTTCATTGATATACATATTTATGAAAAAACTTTGTTCTGGTTAAAAAATGATTTTAAAAATAATTTGTTTTCGAGAGATATTTAAAAGATAATTTACATCAAATCGACCCAAAAATAGTTCTGGAACTTTCAATTTTTCGTTGGCTTATTGAGTTTGTTGACTTCCCACATATTATATTCACCTTAACAGAAATATAAACTTGATCTATTTAGTTTAACTGTCTACTGGATCTGATAGCAATATTTTAATTCTCTATCTACCTATGCGTCGCCTAACGTAGTTTTAAATTTATAAGGTTTTATTGAATTAAATAACATTTTAGGATTACCACCTGCCGATACCAAACCTGGTACAGTGACTTCTTCAAATGCGCCAACGCAGGTACCTGATCACTCAACTGTACCCGTTACAGCACCCACGGTTGCAACTTTACCACCAGGTAATAAAAGTTTATTTTTATTTTTATAATGAGAACATTTTTGCTATTAAAAATAATTTAACAACTAGATTTTACAGTTAGATATTCCTAAATATAAAATATCGAGAAATTCGTACTTTCAATTGAATATAAATGAAGTCTATTTTCTAAATAAACAATTTCGGCTTAGGTTAAAATGGGAAGCCAATTATGTGGAATCCGAAATAGAGCCATCCTTTAAATAATGGTAACTCAAACTTCTTCAAAAAGATGATTTTATTCAGAGTCCAACGTAATTTTTACAAAAACTATTAATAGAATAAGGTAAAACCATACTCTAACACGTTCAAGATTACAAAATGAATCTCTCTCCAGACATTCAGACTCTCAATCAGACAATCCAAACTGTTCCTGTGAAAAAAATGGAGATTTAACACATATCCTATTAGAATGGGGAAAACTACAAGAAAAATGTGTGCTGCCTCTGTCTGTTAGGCGTTTATCGAATGTGACTTCTAGGTATTTGGCTTCGTTATTCGATGGGTCTGTCTTGTACTATTAGTTGTTTTTTCTGGGATTTCTCCTATCTTCTTAAAGATAGTCGCTTGGGTCTTCTCTTGATTTATTGCGATTTCCATTAGATATACCAGTTTTCTATTGCATCCATTGCCGTCTGTCGGTTTCTCACGGCTAGATGTAGGATTGTATGTTTCTTCGCTATAGCAGTGTCATCTGCATACAGGCTTAGTAGAGTTTCGGGTGTTCTTAGAACGTCAACTGTGTATATACCGTACAGTAGGGGTGACAATACTGGCCCTGTGGTACTTCAGCCGCCGGGGGCTCCTAGTTCGGACAGGACTTGTCCTATTCGGACCCTGAACCTCCGGTCGCCAAGGTATGAGCTAGAGTTGTCATGGCCCCACTGTATCCATATTCTCTTATTTTATATACTAGCCCTTGATGCCATACTCTGTCAAAGGCTTTGCTTACATCCAGGAAGGCAGCTCTTATATATTGTTTATCGTTGAATCCAGCTGCAATGTATTCGGTTAGACGGAATACTTGATGCTCGCTGGAGTGCTGTACTCTGAAGCCAAATTGTTCTTCAGGAATTATCCTAAGTTGGTCTGTCTCTGTTTGGAGTCTGGTTTGTATGACTCTTTCTGCTATGTTTCTGACTGCTAGAAGTATGCTAATCGGCCTGTAATTTTGCGCGAAAATGTTGTTTTCCCTGGTTTGTGAATCATTATCACGTGAGCTTCTTTTCATCGATTTGGGAAGAGCCTTTATCTCAATATTGTATTTGTAATATTTGTTAAATAAACTATGGCTTTCATTAGGAGATTCTTTAGAGCTCTGTTCTGTTATTTTTTTCGATCCAGATGCTTTTTTTTGGCGAGCTTTTACTGTTTAACTTGCTTATTTCCCTTAGAGATGTTGGTGTGATTATGCCCTCTTGGATTTCGTGTATTTCTTATTCTCAATATAAATTTGACAAATTACTGCAAGAATGTGAACATAATTGCAAAAAATTCCACCATATCATTTAGACTTAAACCGCATAGAAATAGTTGAAATCGAAAAAGTAACTATAGGTAACTGGAAGAAAATGTATGAACATGTTGTCAAAGTACTTGGAAAATGAACGTCGCATAGATGTAATTACTGAAGAGTTCGGGATTTATTTAAATGATTTGAGTGACGACGACTGTGGATCTGATTATGAAAATGAATATCATAATAAAACATGATGAATAATGATACAACATGATGAATAAAACAAACCGGTATATTGATATTTCGTGGACCTTAAGAAGGCATTTGACAGGGTCAAATTAAACGACGTTATCCACTACCAAAGGGTAGAGGTATCTATATGCAAGACATACCTCAAGGAATAATCAAAACGATTGAAAATATCTATCAGAACAATATAATAAAAGTAAAAAAGAAGAAAAACTTCGAATCTGTGCTTACAAAGAAATACGAAATACTAGGTTGGATGAGACAATATTTAAGAGAAATTTGAAAACTAGGAAGTAAAGGCAATCATTTTTCTGCGTTAAGAAGTCTGCGGTATTTGAAGAAGCGCTCTTAGACTCAATAGAAGGTATATCTATCAATGGAGAAGTTTTGAATAACTTACGTTTTGCAGACGATACAGTAATAATTACGGATAACAAAAATGATTTACAGAACGTAATGCAACGCCTTAATGAACGCTGTCATGAGTACGGACTGAAAATAAATTTAAAGAAAACTAAATGCATGATCATGACTAAATCTGCACATGCAAATATCCAATTGACTATTGAAGATACTGCAATTGAGAGTGTTAATAACTATAAATACTTAGGAACATGGATAACATCAGATGTAGACCAAACCAAAGAAATTAAAACACGTATTGAAAAAGTACGTACATCATTTATTAAACTTAAAAAGTTTCTTTGTTGTCGGGATATAAGGTTAGAACTACGCCTGAGAATGCTTTGATGTTACGTGTTCTCTACTCTTCTTTATGGTCTGGAAGCTTGGACACGAATGGACTTGGAAGTTCATCTGAATAAGTTGGCCGCCTTTGAATTTTGGTGTTACAGAAGAATCCTACGAATATCATGGATTCAAAGAATGTCAAACATGGAAGTAACTAGAAGGATAGGAAATGAGGCGGAAATAATATTAACCATTAAAAGACGAAAACTTGAGTACTTGGGACATGTGATGAGAGGGCAAAAATACGCATTATTACAACTTATTATGCAGGGCAAAATCCAAGGAAAGCGAAATGTGGGAAGACGAAGAATATCCTGGCTTAAGAACTTGAGGGAATGGTTTGAATGCAGTAGTGCAGAACTTTTTAGAGCGGCAGTCAACAGAGTCCGCATAGCCATGACGATTTCCAACCTTCGATAGAAGATGGAACATAAAGAAGAAGAAGAAGAAGTCTGCACCCTATAGACTGTTGTAATCTGCTATAAAAATAAAAACTGCTATCATGCATTTTAAAATCATATATCGACAGAAATTAAGTAATAGGACTTTAATGCCTTGTTTAAATTGTAGTAATGATTGATACATTTTTGATGAGAATTTCTGTATTTTATTTATTTTTAACTACTTGTAGATTAAACAAAGCTGTCGAAAATTTTCTTTTCATTCTTAATAATTTTAGTTACTTAGTTTGATAATTATAATTTAACATATTCTCTTAGTACTAGTTGATCCAGCTCTACAAAAACGATGCTTACAACCAAGAGGCCAATTTCCATCTTCATCATGTAAGAAATATGTAAACTGTTGGGATGGTCACGTTGTAGAGCAAGAATGTCCAGAGGGATTGCTTTTCTCCACCAAAGGATATTGCGATTATTCTTATAATGTAAACTGTGGCGACAGAGGTGAAAAAGGAGGAAGTAAAGGTAAATTAAACAAAAACTTGGTTTATTATACTTAAACATTAATGTAGTTAATGTTAAGAGCCAGTAATCTGTCAGTAGTTTAGAACCTTTCGATCAATTTCATACGTAAATTATTTTGTTACTTTTAAATTGCAATAATTTAAAGTATTTTTAACTCACGTTTAATAAAAGCTTAAGGACAATCCATTTAATTTTTTATATCAAATAATGTTAACGAGCACAACAATTGTGTTTTCTGTTCTCGTACGCGACTAGTTCACGTTCGAGACGCATCGCCTCGCCTATTATTTTTCCCCGTTGGCCCCTCCCTGACCTGGAAATCCCTAATCGCTACTTCAGAGAGTATAAAAATAGGCGATTTTCAGTCAACAAGTTAGTCCTTCACGGTCTCTCCCGAGAGCTTAGTGCTCTCGGGGCTCTGCTTCCTTTTTAGCTTTCCATACTCTGTGGCTGAGTATTTTTACTCAACAATATTTGGTGTTTTATTTCGACTACTATTTAGTCATGTAAGAAATATCTTGCCTTTGTCAAGGCAAGCCACCGAAGTCTACAACCTGATGTTTATTTCGACTTTCTTTGTTGGAAGTCATGTAAGAAATGAGCTCGTCTGTTTCAAGACGAGCTCATCAGAAGAAAATTCTACAAGTGTATACCCAGTAAATAGACTTGGGTAGAGGTGCTTTCGTTGACGTCTCCGAAGCCCTCTACAGAGCACCCGGAGGCAATAGAAAGAGTTTAGACCCCTATTTGTTCCCCCGCGGTGACATGGCGCCCAACAAAGTGGATTATTCCACTCCCACGACCCAGCTCGACGCACAGCAGAAGGCAGCATACTATTGACTTCAACATGGGTTGAAGTCAAGAGAAGCATGGGGAGAACCACAGAGTGTTAGAAAGCTATACTCTAACACTCCGACATCGAGGCCTTCTGCAAACCGGATGCCTTCGACGTGCAGACATCTTTGACGAGCCAGACTTCTTCGAAGTCAGAAGCCCCTGATGCCAATGGAAGTCCAGAAGTAGACCCAGTCATCGCCCCCCTACCGAAAGTGGTTGGACGACCACGTAGGCTTCGGCGCCCTGGTACTCTGCGAAACCCCTGGATATGGCACATGGGATCCGGACGACCGAGAAGAAGACGAACCCGTCGAAGGAGTTGGCACAGCGATCGAGGATGGACTTGCAGGAGCCGGAGATGCCATCAACACCACCGACCGACCTCCCTATTAGTGCTGTGCAGTGAGTTTGCTTAAAGACAATTTTTAATTTTATTTACATTTTCATGTATTTTTATATATCTCATACTTTCCATACATTTTTATGTATTTTTACTTATTCTTGTGTTACTTCACATGTATTTTATAGTAATTTGATATTTTTGAACTTTCAATAAATTTTTTCCCAGCCACAGAGCCTCCAGAGGAGGGGGGATGTTCTCGTACGCGACTAGTTCACGTTCGAGACGCATCGCCTCGCCTATTATTTTTCCCGTTGGCCCCTCCCTGACCTGGAAATCCCTAATCGCTACTTCAGAGAGTATAAAAATAGGCGATTTTCAGGTCAACAAGTTAGTCCTTCACGGTCTCTCCGAGAGCTTAGTGCTCTCGGGGCTCTGCTTCCTTTTTAGCTTTCCATACTCTGTGGCTGAGTATTTTTACTCAACAATATTTGGTGTTTTATTTCGACTACTATTTAGTCATGTAAGAAATATCTTGCCTTTGTCAAGGCAAGCCACCGAAGTCTACAACCTGATGTTTATTTCGACTTTCTTAGTTGCAAGTCATGTAAGAAATGAGCTCGTCTGTTTCAAGACGAGCTCATCAGAAGAAAATTCTACAAGTGTATACCCAGTAAATAGACTTGGGTAGAGGTGCTTTCGTTGACGTCTCCGAAGCCCTCTACAGAGCACCCGGAGGCAATAGAAAGAGTTTAGACCCCTATTTGTTCCCCCGCGGTGACATTTCAGTCTTAATTATTTTTATATATTCCCAAGTTTTGTAGTTTCCTCTATAGTATTATTAATATCCCAAACAGTGTCGAATTCCGTCTCCATAGCACTAAATAATCTTTCCATGCAGAAATGCTTTTTCTTGTTCACTTAATTTAGATTTTCTATAGAACTTTGATTTAATTTAATTAAATTTGACGGATATCAATCAGTAGAACAAGCCAGATTTGAAAAGGGTACAGCACCTTTGACCATCTATATTCTTTGAAAGTCCTAATAGAAAGACTAACGAATACAATCTCCCATTATATCTGGCTTTTATAGATTATGAAAAAGCTTCTGATAGTGTAGAACTGTGGGCAACAGAAGAAGCATTAGTCAACAACCGGATCGACTCCATGTACAGAATATTAATACATAATATTTACGAACAAGCTGAAATGATAGTGACGTTGGGTAATGGAATCGAAACAAGACGAGTAAAAATCAACCGAGGCGTAAGACAAGGAGACACAATATCTCCAAAATTATTTACAGCTGCCCTAGAAGATATCTTTAAGTCACTAGACTGGGGAAATAAGGAAATCCCTATTAACAGAATATTCTTGAACCATCTTAGATACGCAGATGATGTAGTACTAATAGCCGACACGTGGAATGCACTAAATACGATGATTGCAGAGATACACACAGAATCCCTAAAAAAGGACTGAAAATGAATTTCAGCAAAACTAAACTACTGTCAAACAAAGACGACAAACAGACAGAAGAGACAGAGATAGAACACGTAGATGAATATACATATCTGGGTCAAAATGTCAAGGTAGACAAAGAAAATCAGACTACCGAAATAAGCAGACGTATAAAAATGGGAACGTAAATGCAAAATGGGAACAGACCATAGAAATTAAGGCGAGAATAGAACGAGCTAGAGCAGCATTTAGCAATATGAAAAAGCTCCTCATCAGCAAGGATTTGTCTCTTCCCCTAAAACTACGTATAGTTAAATGCTACATTTTTTCGATCTTGCTGTATGGCGTAGAGGCCTGGACGCTGACGGAGACGCTAACGAGAAAACTAGAAGCATTCAAAATGTGGGTGTACCGACGCATTCTTCGTATATCCTGGACCGAACATGTCACCAAGATAGAGGTACTCCAAAGAATCGGAAAGGAGAAAGAAATCGTGAATACAATTAAACAAAGAAAGCTTGAATATCTAGGCCACATATTGAGACACGATAAGTACCGTCTGCTACAATTGATTGTCCAGGGAAAAATAGACAGTAAGCGAGGGCCAGGCAGGAGAAGACACTCGTGGCTCCAAAATCTGCGGAAGTGGTTCGGGTTCACATCGGTCGAACTATTCAGAAGCGCCGCAAACAAGATCAAAATTGCCATGTTAATAGCCAACCTTCGCAACGGACAGGGCACTTGAAGAAGAAGAAGATAAAAATGGGACAGACCGCAACATTGATGAAAAAAGTAGAGGCCTTCGAAATGTGGGCTTACCGACGTATATTACGTATATCCTGGACTGAGCACGTGACCAACGAAGAGGTACTACGCCGGATAGGTAAAGAGAGAGAGAGAGAGAGAGAGAGAGAGGAGAGAGAGAGGAGAGAGAGAGAGGTAGGAATAAGTATAAAGAAAAGAAAGTTAGAATACTTGGGTCACGTTATGAGACATAATAAATATAGAGTACTACAGCTGATCGTTCAAGTGAAAATAGACAGCAGAATGGGTCCAGGGAGGAGAAGACACTCGTGGCTCCAAACCTTGCGGCAATGGTTTGGATTGTCATCTGCTGAACTATTCAGATCTGCCGTAAACAAAGTCAGAATAGCCATGTTGATTGCCAACGTTCGGAACGGACAAGGCACATGAAGAAGAAGAATAAAAATGGGATGGGTAGCATTTGGAAGACTCTCATATATACTTAAAAATAACAATATACCTCAAAGACTGCGAACCAAAGTGTTTAATTCCTGTATCCTACCTGTACTTACATATGGAGCTCAAACCTGGACATTCACTAAAATAAACATGGAGAAGATAAGAAAAACTTAGAGAGCTATAAAACGACAGATGCTGGGTATCTCACTCAAAGACCATAAAACCAATCGAAGAAAGACATTAAATCTAAACCATCCTCTAAATTCCGACGGAATGATTGTTATCTTCACTTTTAAGGCATTAAAACTGAAAAAAAAACTAATTTGAGTAGTGTGACTTCAAATTTGAAAAAGCGTGTTTTTGGCATTATAAAAAAGACGATTTTATGTGTAATTCGACATATACGTACAAATTAAGCAAACTTTATATTAATAATTATAAGTAGACTTCGGGAAATATGCAAATAAAAATGTAGAAAATATGCACATAAATATGCACGTGTTTACCCGAAAATATGCAAATATTTTACAAAATATGCATACAAATAAATAAAAAAATCGTAAAATAGTAACAATTTTATTTAAAAAAAAAGTGTACATAACTAAATATTTCCTACTATTCATTAAGATTTACATTTATTTTAAGTAACTACATCATTTTTAAGTATGAATAAACTTATTTAGAATTATGGTAACAATAAATGACCAAGTGGTGTTCAAAATTTTCTAACAAAAACTTGTGGCTTCTGTCTGAGTACATATATTTATATATGGAAAAACTTCGTTCAACATCAACTGATGTAACGGGAGCATTTTTCAAACTAACCAAAACATTTGGTTCTAAATTAATTGTTTCCGAAATATTTCCAGCTAGAACACTGACTACTTCAGAAAAAAATATGGTAACCTTTATTTTTTTCCATAGTAGCTTCAAATTTTTTTAAAATATCTTTTCCAATATTACCTCTAACGTTCCGACAACATGACGCAAATTCTTTTATTAACGCTGTACTTTCGAACAATGACAGTTTTGGTGATTCTAACTGAGTAATTGTTTTTTGAACAAAACTAAAATTTGATTTTATAAATGAAAGTTCTTGTTGAAGCAAGTTACTCTGAAAAGTTTGTTTAGAATCCAAAAGAGATTGGGAACTTTCATCTGTTAACGTATCAATTATGTTCTTTATTTTAACAAAATGATCTGCATAAAAATTAGCTGCTTCTAACCATGTTCCCCATCGCGTTAAAATAGGTTGTGGTGGAAGAGGAATGTTAGGTAGCATTTCTTTATAAAGTTGAATTCTTATAGGAGATTTAAGAAATACTTTCTTGACACTGGATATCATGGTATTTACAAGAGGAAACTTTTTCGTATTTCCTCTGCAACTCTGTTTAATCCATGCGCTACACAAGTAACATATATTAAATCTGGGAAAAATATTTTTAAATTTTGTCCTGCTTTCACCATATAAGGAGCAGCATCCGATAAAATAAGCAGTAATTTATTAGAAGGAATAGTTGTCGGAAGAAAAAAAGTTGCTAATGTTTCTTGTATAAAACGCGAAATTGTTAAAGCATTTGTTTTCTCAAGTTGCTGGCATGAAATAAGATGAGATTTTGGTAAGGTATCTTCTTTAAGAACACCAATCAATAAATGAGCAATATACTTTCCTGAGGAATCAGTGGTTTCGTCTACAGATATGTAAAAATAATTATCTGCAATTTCTTCCTTAATATTAATTAACACCGACGAGTATAGCCCGTTCACATTATTTCTTCTTAGAGACCGATCACTTGGAACATTAAGTTTGCAATATTTTTTTAGAAACGAACTAAAATTTACATTTGCTAATTTTGAAAGCGGTATGTTTGCAGACACTAATAAAGTCTTCATTAAAAGTTTCTTGCTCATCTAATTTTTTTGAAGTAGGTTGGAAACATTTAGCCATTGAAGTTTGATGTTTTCCTCCTATTTTTCCTTTTTTTGCAATGTGTGAAGCAGTTCTTACATGTTGGTGTATCTGAAATTTCTTCTCACATGCTATCTATAAATAAAAATAAAAACCTTTATTTTAACCCAACCTTTAAAATATAAAAATATACAAGGTGTTTTTGGTTAATCAAATAACTGGTTTGGAAAAAAAAACACTCGCTAAGTGTTTTAAATGCAGTATTAATCCACAAATTAGTTTTTGTTACTAACCATTAGTACATCATATAACTTATTTTAAAATTCAACAAAAGTTTTTTTTTTGTTAATTCAATTACAATAAAAATAATTGTGTTTTAGAATAGCTGACTTCATAAAAAAAGTAAAGGTGAAAATTTTTTCTAAATACACACCATTGTATTGTACCATGGACAATTTTTTCTCACTAAAGGAAGCTATTTTTCATTTAAAAACAACCTACGAGTACTAAATTTCAAGTAAATACGTTTATTGGTTTTAAAGTTATTGTTGTTATTAACTAAAAGAATTTAATTTTAACACCCTGTATCTCGAAAAGTAAATAAGTTTGACACCTCATTAACTATATCGTTTTGTTCAATTTTTCGAGAAGTATCTACAGTCAAACGTTGTAAGTGTCATTTGGAAACACCCTGTATGTACGAAATATTAGATATTTAATAGAAAATATTAGATACTTACAATTTTGCCACAGACTGAACAGTAGATTTTTCCCATATCCATAGACAGCTCTTTATAAGGTTTAATCCAAGTTGAAGCACTGGTTGTTTTAGGCATTATAAAATCACAATCTTCCTTTTTGTTACGCACAACGAGTGTTTACGCTTTGAATATCAAAACAAAAATGATTTACAAATCTGAGCATCAAATTAGAAATGTTTAGGTACCTAATTCAATAAACTGGGAGATTTTGGAAAAGCCCTAAATTAGGAACAAAACTATTAGCCGTTTACTTGCTGTTAAGATACAATAAATTGTAGATAGATTTGGGGATTAGATCATAAAATGCAAATGAGCGAACCCTTAGCGATTATCCAATAACTGAATGACTCAGTGACCGAGACTTTCTAAGAATGTTGAGGGCTACTTAAATTGATCTTCTTTGAAATTGTAAATGTTTTGTACCTGTAGAGATTACGTACTTAGATCATTTCTTGATTAAAATAACTACAAAATTTTATACAAGAATTGAAATAAATTGGTATGTTTAAAAATTTTCAAATACAGTATAAAAATCTGAACTTTTATGCACTTTATGCAAACTTTTATACAAATATGCCAAAATAAATTTGCATAAAATATGCACAATATGCAAAATATGCAATATGCATATTTGCCGAAGTCTAATCATAAGGCATATTTAAACATATTGTTATTTTTAGTGGTGTTGCCTGAATCTTCTGAATGTCCACAGAAATCGGGAACTTTTAGAGAAAAACACGACTGTGGATCGTATTACACGTGTGTTTTTAACAAAATTGTCGCTAGATACGCTTGTCCTATAGGGTTCAAATTTAATGAGGTAAGTATATCGCTATATAACAACCTTAAAAAACTTTTAACAACTTTCAAACTTCAATTTATAACAACACTGACAGCGAACGTTTTTGTAAGCAGCCCATATTAAATTTTCGTATCCTTACCTAATATCGTATTTACCAAGCTCATACCTAATATACGATTTTTGTTGCTTTATAACATACACCCATAAACAAAAATATTGAATATTTTGGAATTTTCAAATTTTTGTTTTTTGAAAATAAACTCTGGTCAATCCAGTCATTTATTGTGAAGAAGAGTTTATTTAACAATGTTTAATGAACAATTTCAAGTTTTTATGTGGAGAAAATTGCGAAAAAAATAATGCTTAATGTTTTATAATGTAAACCTATATGCTTAAACAAGTCTTTTTAACTGAAACAAGTGCATGATCAGTAACGAATATTTCCTCCTCTAGCTCTTATTACTGCCTGCAAGTAAGTTTTGGATATATCCTTAGAAAATTATATTTTATTCATTCTGTGCACCAAGCTGAAGCTGCTCTATCGTATTTGGAATATGATTTCTTTGTCGTATGCAGCATTTTAGCTGATCCCACATGTAACCTATTCCAGATTTAAATCCTCTATTGGATTTAAATCTGGACTAAAGAGTGGCTAATCCAATCTTCGAATTTAGACCTCATTAAGATAATTAATTACTATGGCAGCGGTATGTGGTCGAGCAATACGGTGCATTAACATGAATCTGTCACATATAGTGTAACCAACATATGGCAAAACGTAAGAGTCGCCAGTCATCCGGCCAATCACTTCCATAAGTGCGGTGCATCTCTCCCAACTAATACCTTCCCAAAAGCATTATGCCACCACCTACAAAACTAATGGTCTGAGCGAAATTGCTGGTGGCGTATCATTCCCTAACTCTTCTGTAGAAGTGGTTTTGACCATCTAGTTTCCATAATAGCATTCTGGTCTCATCAGTAAGAAATATTTTTTTTCAGTTGTAGATATTCACTGAATATGTGTTCTTGCAAATTCCAAACGACGATCTTTATGATTTTGGAGAAAACGGTAACGTTGGCAGGGCATCTAGGCTTTTAGTTTGCTTCTTTTAATCTTCATATAACTGTTTCTAAGCTCACATTAACTTGTCTAATATTTAGTAGCTCATTTCTGAGGTGCATCGATACCAACGAGCAATTTCCTGTAGAATTAAGATTCAAAAAACGGTCATCAATTGTGATTATGCACCATGGACGCCCTTGATTAGGTCTTCGTACAAAATTTCCTGTTTCATCGTACCTTTTTAAAGTATTCGAAACTGTAGATTGACTTTTCCTGACACGTCGTGCGATATCATTTTGTGTATATCCTTCCTCGCACAAAATTACAATTTGTGCTTCTTGGGCTTCATCGCAGTGGCGAATTGGTGGCATACTTGTTTTAAACTTAGTTAAATCAAAACAATATTTAATTAAGCTTAATAAATTAAACTTAAGATAACCAAATTAGTTTTATTGTTCCCTTACGTGTAGAAAGCTTTTTATGATAAAATGTACGAATGACACTAGACGCTAAATAAACGTCAAAATATTCTAAGCCAGTTAAGAAACATTAGCCTACTATATGAGTAACATTAGTAATCTAAAATTATTTTGAAATATTAGTGACTACAAAAAAAATTGAAAAATTCTAAAATATTCTATATTTTTGTCCATGAGTGTATTAACTCATTTTATCATTTTCAACGAACATTTTTCATACATATGTTTATTGATTTACAGAATATTATCTAATGCTAGTCTTTTTAATTTTCGAAGCAACATTTTGAGTCTCTCATCCATATTTATTAGTTTTAAATTTGGTAAATAAGGTGGATATTTAAAATCTTCGTCACGAAAAGCTGTAGTTATGAAAATATTCTAAGAAGCGTTCCACTATATGACTTGTTGCGTGAACCTCTATGGCTCCTTGTTAAAATCTCAGACAAATAGTAAAACAATATTTCCTTTAGCTTATCCTATCATAACGTGGTACATTCAAACCCAAAAATGATTTGTTTGACGATAGATATAATGTTTGGGAATTTGACTTCTGTCTGAATTTTACATGTAATGATGTATGATCTGAAAAGGTATCCCCCGTCATAGTTAAGTCTATTATTATTTTATCTAAAACAGTGTCTATCGTTCTATCAAATATCCACATTTTCTTTTCTTCCTTGATCACATGGTTTACGGCATTAGCCCAATATTCTTTCCGTATTTGTTCCATTGCGAGTTCTAACAAACGATAGACATCATAAACTTTATATATCACGTTTTCAGGAGCTACCTAACCCTTTACTTGAACCCACATTAATTCTACCGAGTTTAACTCGCAATGGAAAGGAGGAAGTCTCAAAATGGTGAGATTATGTCTTTAGTACGAGTCATTGTATCTACAACATGCTGGCGATATTTATCACGATGCTGTCTTCGGAAAATAAAATTCCTTTCTGTCCTAACCAACTCTGCATGTCTGCTTTTCTGAAAGCCATAGTTGGCAGATGTTCTACTAATCGGCTGTGATAAGAAGTGGTATCCATAACTATTACCGAATTTGGCTCGACTCGTGAAAGAAGGGATTTAAACCATTTTTCAAAAGGTTGGGTGTCCATGTCTTTGTGATAATCCCCCGTTTTTTTTTTGGATAAAAAAATTATTGTACTATCGTCTAAAAAGTCACTCTCACTACTTATATGGGCGACAATAAATCGTTAAACTTTATCCGTTGGTCCTCGTAATCCTTTTGATAAACCGTCCATAAATGATTAACGATATCTCGTTAAAGTAGTATCTTCCTAGATCTTAGAAAATGTGTTACCAACATTCACCCACCTTTCGTCCAGATATTAAATTTTTGGTGAGCATAACGAACCTCTCTAATAGAGCGAAGATATCTTCGTCCCCATGAGACTAAATCTTCTTTTATTGTAACGAAAAGTATTTTGCCTACCACAGGGGGCGTTAATACGGGAGATAGAAAATTGGGGAAAAAACTATTGGGGGTGGAGATAGGGCAAGCAAAATAATCGCTACTGATGCGAACGGCACTCACGGTTTCGTAGGAGAGCTGGGGTCGTGGATAAGTAAAAGATAAGGGGTTAGAATGGGGCAACCACAAGAAAATGAAATAAAGGGGTCATTAATCTCTTGGAACAAACACAATAAAAATAAACAAGAAACACCTCAAGGAATTTAATATAGGGCGCCACTTGAGGTGCCTAATTATACCTATTACAACCACTGGTTGTAACTAGGGAAATAATTAGAAAACAAATCAAAACATAAAAAACATATCTTTTTCAAATAAGAATCAAAAAAGGTTTGGCTCAAAAAAAAATAATAAATAAAATGTTAAGACAACAAAATTTAACCTTTATTTATGTGTCACCACAAACAGTTACAAAATGGAGAAATACAAAACACAAAAACTTACGTGTCATCCGCTTACAAACTCCAGGAGTTGGAGATACTACATAATCTTAAAAAATTTATATGGAGGTTAACCTTGTTTAAAAATAAAACAAACTAATAGTCAAAAAAACAATAAAAAACGAGCTGTCACAAGTTAACATTAAATTTAAAAAAAAAACTAAACACACAAATTGACAGCTCAACTCAAAACCTAAAATTTACAATTTTAAATGTCAACGAAAGCAATTATTTAATTCAAAACAAATTGTCTGTCTTTACTCTAAAATTTGATCAAAAAGTTACCTAGATTTTCACTAACAAAATGCACTAGAATTTGTGGAACCAGACGCCACTGGAATATCCGAAACCATAACTGGAACTGAGGGCTTTACTCTCTGTGCAATGAACACAACTATCTATCTCCATATCTTCATATTTCGAACAAATCTATCTCCATACTGCCAAAAGCCTTGGATGATAACCAGAGAGAAACAAAACGAGGATGGAATCGACGATTCTTTCATTCCTCACTCAAACATTTACTGAACCATTAACTTCACACTGCTACACATTTTCTTCATAAAAAAAGACAAACAAACGTCTTCATAAAAAAACACAAACAACGAGGAACATTTCGAATTTGAAGTCAAATTCGGACATAACGTTGACCGCTTTTCACCGCGGCTCCAACGATAGTGAAGAAATTCTATTAAAATTGAACGCATACATACAAACGCTGACAAAACAAGACACCACGAAACGACGTACATATCCTTTTGCGACGCATTAACATGAAAAGAGATTGCCGAAGTAAAATAAACAACTCTCAAATGGTTTTATTACTCGGCGACGAAACACTTTTGGGTACTTTGAAAGATACGAACTAACAACACGGAAAAATTCTTCGTTTAATTTTTTAAATATATATAAGGAGTTTTTAATATATTTTATTATACGAGGAGGTTTCAATATACTCAAAAGAATCAATGAAATTGAAAATGCTACATCATTATTATCCTTAACGTCTCATTGCTCATTTTTGCAATGCGATCATTCTTCATTACATCTGTTCTAATGGATTGAAGGGCTGGCGCTTTATTCTCAAAAAGAAAGAATGAATAGTACTGCGTACAAGATTTTTCTAGTACTCCTCCAATTCTTTTTTTTGCTACCATGACAATGTACTTTTGGAGTCTGGACAATCAAAGTCACCTTTACTTCGCGTACAATGCGTTTAATTGTCGACATGGATGACAATATTAAAAATGAATACTGAGTTACAGCTTCCACTTTTTAAATTTTCATGCACTTTACAGACCTTCTCCTTTTTTTTACCGACACAAAATTCCGCTTTCTTTTTACATTACTTGGACCCGCTATGGCATCCATCTTAATGATATAAAAAGAATAAACATCAATCATATTATTATGCTATTTGTTTGTTGTTTACTTACCTCAAAAAAACTATTTTAATAAATATAATAAAGTCTATTTAATAAGTATAAAACAAAGTCACATTTACGAAAAACAAAACACACTACGCTTATACAGATATGGACGCTTGGTGATTAAGAAACCGAATGGATAAACCATTTCTCCCATTCCCACATTTTCCAGGGACTTAAATATATAGTCCAGCAAAGTGTTGATAAGTTTACCAATATATCAATGTATTCAACGAACTTTTTTAACTATTCGCTCTTGAATTATTGCAAAATACCGGTATGCAGAAGGTATATTGTTACGGGGGCAAATTTTATGGGATCATCTTACTTTTCACTTATCCACATTGGCGAAGCATATACAATAAAAATGACTCCGGTAAGTGCCGGTAAGAATTTACTTCTGATTTAATATTGTTACCGTTAGCTCTCAGTTCAATTTGTAGATGAGTCACCTTCAATTGAAAATTGTTATAGTTTAGTAATCGTTCGCAGTAAATTTCTCCGGCACGTGTGTTTGTAATATTAGTCATTCTCTCACACGAATTCAGTATGTTTTGGTACTTTCTGAGATTCTATTTAAACTTTTAAAGTTTTATTATACTTATCCAACTCCGTATAAGCGGAAATAATTTAAGTAGCTCATTTTGTAGATAGTTAGCCGTCACAAATGTTCAACTTGTTACAGTATTTTAAGAAAAAAAATATATATTTTTGTATTTTTGTGTATTTTAATTTGATTTTATTTAATAGACATTTTATTTTTAGGGTTTGGGTATTTGTGACTATGAAGCAAATGTCGACTGCTCTGAGAAAATAATTAACCATTCAAAACAAATGTTTGAAGTAGTTACCACAGAAAAGAATGCAGGTAATTGAATATATTCAAGATGTATCTTTATTGAATATGAATAAATTGAATATTTTCAATTTAAGTGAAAAGTATTGTAAAAATATTTATTATTAATACTATTTATATTAAAATATTTTTAGGTAATAACGAATACATTGCACAAAACACTAAATGCAGCGTAGAGTATGGAACATTTAGAGATATGTATAAGTGTAATAAATATTATATCTGTGCAGATTTTAAAATTGTTTCTCAGCACGAATGTCCACCAGGTTTCAGCTTTAACGATGTAAGTATATGTTTGTTAGCTTTCAATCATTTTTTTATTGTGTTTTATAACTCATTTCCTTTTTGATAGATATACTTATATCATTTTTTTATATACTTATACCATTTTTAAGTTATACATTATTATTTATTTTCTAGAACATTGGAAAGTGTGACTATTCTCATAAAGTAGATTGTGCGAGGCCTCAACAAATGTATGAAATAACAAAGAATTCTATATTACAAATTCCGGAAGGTAGGTTAAACTAGCTTATTTTGACTAATTTTTTTCCTGTTGTATTCCTTATTTTAATTGTTGTTTATCGTCTATCTGAATATATGGTTATCAATATGTAAATGAACACTAGCCAGTATAATGCCTAATGTTCCTTAAAACTATTATACAGAAGAACTTGCACTCCTGTCAACATGTGTATCAAGCGAGAAAGTGAGCAGAGTATTATTGGTGCAATTATCGAATGACATAGAGTATCCTTAGATTAAAAAAGAAGTAGGTAGTAGTGTATGCCTTTATAGATGTACAAGGAGCATTTGCTCTATTTAGCAATTGCCGTACATCAAACTTCAAAAATCAGCTTAGGTCGAGGAGTTAGACAAGGAAACAATATTTCACCAAAATTGTTCACGGCAGCTTTAGAGTCAATATTTAAGAACACTCAATGGCAAGATATGGGTATCAATATAGATGGAGAAGAATTAAGTCATCTAAGGTTTGCAGATGATATTGTATTAATCGCAGATAACTTACAGGATACAGTTTCTATGATACATTCGCTTAAAAGTCTGTCTGAAAGAGCAGGATTAAAGATAAACTTTGACAAAACTAACCTTATGACAAATCTCGTAATGAGTGGAAATATAACTATTGACAACAATACCATACAAGAAACATGAAAATAAGCAGAGACAATCAAACACATGAAATACAGAGGCGAATAGACCTGACATGGGCAGCATTTGGCAAATTAAGCCATATTCTAAAAAGTTCAATTCCCATATGTCTCAAGCGAAAGGTTTTTAATCAATGTGTTTTGCCTGTACAAACTTATGAAACAGAGACTTTAGCACTCACGCAAAAATAACTCAGAGTTACACAACGAGCCATGGAACGTGCAATGCTGAACGTGAGCCTTCGGGACCACATATCAAACCAACAAATCAGGCAAAGATAAGGAGTTCAAGACCTGATCGAAAGAACCACGACGCTTAAGTGAACTGGGTAGAGCACTTAGCCAAAACACAAGATGGACGGTGGACAAGACGTATTATGAAATGGAGGCCCAGAAACTATAAAAGAAGCCGAGGACGACCACCGACTAGATAGACCGATGATATAAAACGTGTAGCGGAAAACTGGCTACAAGCGGCCCAGTGTAGAGAACACTGAAAAGAACTGAGGGAGGCCTATGGGATATGTTTTTCGTTTTCCATATATTATATTAGTTTAAGAAACCATTTCTGAGTATTTTTAAGAGTCACCATATGGCAATCAGCTACTCCACCCCATCCTAACATCCCATATACAAGATGAGATTGTACTAGAGATAGGTAAAGCATTTTAAGCTGTTCAACATCCAAAAACTCTTTTAAATAGCGGAATTTTGGTAGCAGTCCTCGTATTTTTCTTATAATATTTTTATTATTTAAAAGTCCCATTTTAGGTGCCTGTCAATTAAAACCGCTAAATATTTTATGTACTCTGCTTTTAATATTTGTTGTTTTTATATTTATTTTTAATGAATTAAACGTTAGCAGAGAATTTTTATATATTGCACAAGTGTAATATATTTAGTTTTCTCATAATTTATTGTGAGTTTGATATGAGTTATATAATTTTAAGATCTTCCCAATTATCGGCCTTATAAAAAATTGCGGTGTCATCAGCAAAACTAACTATGTTTCCAACAGTTTTTAGTTTGAGCATGTCATTAACATAGAGTGTAAAAAGTAGAGGGTCTAAAACGGTCCCTTGCAGTACGCCATAATTAATTACTTAAGGATCACTTTTGACACCATCAATGTCTATAAATTGTTTTCTGTCAGTTAAGTAACTTTTTAGTAATGCCAAAACCCTTTCTTTCAGACCATACTTCTTAAGTTTTTTCAACAAGATCTCGTGAAATATCGTGTCAAACGCCTTAGAGAGACCCACGAATATGCATAAACTACGTTTATTAGACTCAAAAGCTTCTGATATTTGTGATATTACTTTACAAATAGCATCTTGTGTTGATTTTCTTTCTCTAAAACTGTATTGAAAATCCGATATTATACTAAACCTATCCAAAAACTTACTAATCTATTTATTAAAAATTTTCTTTTATTTTGAAAAATCAGATAACAAAGAGACGGGATTGTAATTAATCACGTCTTCTTTATTTCCTGTTTTAAACAGAGGTTTGATTTTGCCCGTTTTCAGACATTCTGGAAAACAACCATCATGAAAACATGCATTAATGAGAAAAGTTAAAGGAGTAATAATTTCTTCCTTAATTTGTTTGGTGGTTTCTGTCTTGATACAATCCCAGCCAGGAGGAGTACCACTTCTTTTTGCTTAACAAGATACTAGTACATGTTGCTTTCTATCCTATCTATTTCCTCAATCTGGTCATTACAAATGAGTATTTTATTGTGCATACCTTTGTATTAATGTACTGTCATGTGTATTAAATTCATTTGCAATTTCTTTTTTATCAGTTATTGTTTCTCCTGTTTTGGTTTTAACCGATTCAATTTTTGTATTTCCATTTATTTTTCCGCACAATGAATTAATTACATTCCAAAGTGATGAAGAAGAGGTCTTATTTTTTTTCAATTCGTTGTTTTGTATAATTTCTTTTTGCAGTTTTAACTAAAAGTCTTAATTTATTTTTATAATCTCTATACCGTTGTTTTTTTATGTTATATGAGGGATCTTGGATTAGCTGATCAAACAATCTATGTTTTACATGTACAAACTGGTAAACATTTTCGACTTATAACTGATCAAAAGTCTGTCTCTTTTATGTTCAATATGCGCCACACTAGTAAGATAAAAAATGAGAAGACTATCAGATGAAGCCTTGAATTATCATGCTACAGTTTCGATATTCAGTACCGACCATGAGTTGAGAATGTAGTGCCAGATACTTTCTCACGAGTGAACTGTTCAATAAATCCTCGACCAAGTCTATTTGAACTACATCAATCCTTGTATCATCCAGGAATCACCAGAATGGTCCATTGGATAAAGACACGTAACTTACCATATACTATTGATGAAGTCCGTAAAATGACCAATCGCTGTCCTATCTGTGCAGAAATAAAACCAAAGTTTTTGAAAACTCAAGGGAGATTAATTAAAGCTACTTCGCCTTTTGAAAGATTGTCTCTGGATTTTAAAGGACCGCTTCCATCTAGATCTCATAACAAATGTATCCTAACAATTGTTGACGAATATTCTCGATTCCCCTTTGTATATCCATGTCAAGATGTTTCAGCGAAAACTGTTGTGAAGTGTCTTACAAACTCATTCTCTTTATTTGGAATGCCTAGTTATATCCATTCAGATCAAGGGGGGGCATTTATGTCTCAAGAAGTCAAAACATTTCTCCATTCACAAGGAATACTTACAAGCCGAAGAACATCTTACAATCCTGAAGACAATGACCAGACAGAAAGATATAATGGAATTATATGGAAAACTATTTCTCTTGCTTTAAAATCTAAACATTTAAAAATTGAACAGTGGGAAGAAGTAGTTGAGATAGCTCTTCCATTCGTTCTCTTTTGTGTACATCTACAAACAGTACCCATCATGAGCGAATGTTTCATCATTCCAGAAAAGCTATAAATGGAGCTGCGCTTCCTTCATGGTTGATAACCCCCGGAAAAGTATTTATGAAAAAAATGTGAGGCAGTCCAAATATGAACCCCTCGTTGAAGAAGTACAGCTAATTGAAGCAAATCCAAACTATGCTGTTGTTAGACGTGAAGGTGGTAAAGAAACAACAGTAGCCTTAAGACAACTTGCACCACGAGGAGATGCATCTCTACTGGACTGTGTTAGTGGATCGGAATCTGCGGTTTCTAATGAACAGTTTATCAAAGATCCACCAAGCCCTAGATTGAGTATATGTGGGGAAAATCCAAATATTTCTCCTGTTAACGTTCTGGAAGATCAAGGTAATATTGAAAGTGTTTTAAAGGAAGAAAATAAAGACACTCTTATTAGAAGGGGTATCAGGGAAAGAAACACTTCTGCTTACCTTAAAGACTTTGTTCAAAAATAAAGTTGGGGTGAATGTCCTGGGGTCTGTGAACTTGTCATCTTAGTTTTAGTTAATGTCATATGTAATTGTCATGATATTCATTCAAACAAAACAATGCTAATTTCTTGCATATTAAAACCTAGTTTATAAAGGTTTTGCATTTCATTACACAGACTTTAAAATTTTCTCTGTCATCCAATCTTTTCTAAAAGTGATTTTTAGATCATTTATTTTTAAAATAATTGTATTTTTGTTTATTCAATTGAAAATTTTGTCGATGAAAAGTTTTACCGCTACATTTTTCTTTGTTTTATTGTAAATATCCAACCACTTTTTCTGCTTCAAATTGTTTTTTAGATTTTTGTAGTTGAAATATTTCTTTATTGTTATTTAAATAGTCATTAAATAAGAGTATTGAATAAAATAAAGGTAGATAGTAAGACATCCAGGTGGATGGTACCTATAGGTTCTTCTTAGACTCTTAACCTCTATGCGATAACTCGGATATTCTGCCAAGGTCGATCATATTATCATAATTGTGATGGGCACAGGAACTGATAACGTTAGAACTTAAGAGCATATCCACTAGAATCACGTTAATAGAATCTACAAAAAAAAAACGATTTTTAATCTTAAATCCATCACAACAGATGGGAGCACAGTTGAGTAGAAAAGAGACTTTAACTATTAGGTACCTTTTAACTTTTAATTCAACATCTCATTTAAAACTCTCCAATTCATCCTATTATTAAAATAAAACATTTTTACTTTATTCCTTTTTCATTTGTTCACGATTATACATATTTTGAAAATGTTTTTTACGTTTTAGAGTATAGAGAAAAAGTAAACAATTGCAAACCAGGATCGGTATTTCGTCTAAATTCTGAATGTACAGCTGCATGTTTATGTAGAAATGGTTTAGCTGAAGTTATACAATGTCCGACAGGATTTGCGTACGATTCAGCAATAGATAAATGTATTTTACGACACCTGGCTAGATGTTAAATGTAAGTTACTCGTCATTTTCAAAGTATAATAATTAGTAAATAGCCACTTAATATAAGAGAGTACAGGGTAGAAGGAGTCGCGGAAGAAGACGCATCTCCTGGTTAAACAATTTGAGAGCTTGGTTTAACTCCACTTCTGCTGACCTCTTTAAAGCAGCGGCCGGCGTCGAAAGTGCGAATTGCCATGATGGTTGCCAACCTTCTTAGAGGAGGTGGCACGTGAAGAAGAAGATAAGAGAGTAGAAATATGTATAAGTTCTGCTTGATAAAAAAGTATCTATAGCGCAGTGTTCACTAAGAGCGTCAACTTATTGAACTTAACAAAAATTAGTATTAATTTTTGACAGACAGACATTTAAAATGTTTGTTTAAAATATAAAACATAAAGGATAAAGATATTGTTAAAATTTATTTACAATCTCATTCGATATATGCTCTAATTTTATAGAGCTCCATTATCATTTTTCGTAGAGAATTTTAACCTTATTATTCCTCAACAGTACTAAAATATAAGGTGACATATAAGTTGCCTAACATGAAGGACACTTAATTCATATTTTAAAATATAATTCTTTTATTGTCTGTTGCATCGTTTATTCAATCAACGGTTGGATGCATCTATAGTTTAATAATAAAATTTTGGTATGTTTTAGATATAAAGAAACTGTGATGGATTTCTTCTTTTTATGAAGACTGATAAAAAGCTTACGATACAAAAACGACTATAACGGCTTATAGAAGCGTTTTGGGGTTGGTGGCGGTTTTATTTATTTTTAATTATATATGTAAGAATGATGTAGAAAAATACAGAATACATAATTAAGAAACACATTTTTTTTATTTCTAACCAATGACTGAGGAATCAGTATACTTAAAACATAAGAAAATCGATAGTTCAAACCTATAAAAACTTTAATAATCTTTTATATTTTTATAAAATATAAAATATTAGAAGTAATAAATATAATAATTTAAAATACTGCAGTTATAATGACTAGTAAGTACGAAAACGGAAAAAGGAAAGATGACGGAAGGAAAACAGGAAAGTTATAAAAGAAATGCTCTAAAGAGCAGCTGTTTAAAGCTTTAACTAGCTAAAGAGCTAAGCCACCAAATGGTTATTTTATACAAAACAAAGTTTAAATTTTAAAACCAGTTATTGATAAATTATTGATGGTTATCATGAACTCTGTTGTGTAGATCAGTTACTTGGGTATTAATGAGACACACCCAAGATATTACTTTTTTTTTCTTATTACTTGAATATACATAATAGCTTATCTACAAATAGATATTTCTTTTAAGCTATTATCATTACTTCTGATTAAATTCGACACGTGACATATGGAAAGATTGGTTTAAGAAATATTAAAAAAAATGACAAATAAGTTTATTGGTCTTAAAGAGACCTCTCTTTAAAACCAATATTTGCCTTGTATGGTCGCTATACATTCCTGCCAATATTATCGTATTAATTTCCAAAAGAAAAGAAAATGATGAGACAGTAATAAATAAATAATTGCTACTAATAAAACAACTTTTATTTTTGATATGGTGGAAAGTTCAGTCAAGCAAAAGTTAATGTGGAAATAACAATATATTAACAAAATAGACATAAACCAAACATGCAAATAGCAAGAACAAAAATCTTGATTTTTAAATTAAAACAAATCAGGTTTTAAACAAATATTTGTAGAATTATATAGGATAAAGCAAAAGTGATTTCATTTTAAATTAAATGATACTTAAATTAAATAGTGAAAATAAACAAAAATGCCAAATTATTACCTCAGCTATTAGCATATTGAATTGATTTTATTAATCTAATTTATTGTATTTATTTATTATAAAAGGGTTCTACAATTTCACAACACTTACAAGTTTATTAAAGTCTTTATTAATTTATATATACAATATTCACTAATTTATTTCCGCGTTACAATTTAAACTCGATATAATTATATTTTCCGACTGACTTGTTTTCAAATAAAAATGTCTATATATATATATATATCAAACAACCGTTAATCTGGAATCCCAGCGAAGGATCGATGACCGAATAGATGGAATTCCATCAAAGGCAAATAGGTTCTTATCGGAGGGTCGGAGAATCTAGAAAATATCAGAATGAAAAAGATGTTTACAGTTTAGATATGAGTCATTATTTATCGTAACAATATCCATGATATGTAGGTATGGTAACTTATTTAGTAAAATATACCTACAAATATAGCCTAACAAAAAGTATAGTAACAATCACTTAATTACTAGAGTACTGAACATACGCAAAAAAAAATTTATTCAAATTCTACAAAATAATTATACCATCTAACTCTTCCTCTTCTTATTCTTTTTTGGGCTATTTTCTTAACAATTTACCTAGCTTATTTATGTACCTATAAATCAGATGACTTAAGGTTCGAAGTTCTTGTCGTTTTCGTTGATCACCACCAACTTAAATAGATTGCAGCTGATTTGTCTTAATAAAATATTCTATAAATTTATTATTTTTATCCAATCTATAAAGGCCAATAAAAAGGATAATATTGAGAACTCAGAACTAAATCTCACTTTTTTATTTTATTGCACAGTTTTAATTCACCGGTAATATCTTGCTGCGGGTTCTCCTCAGGTAGCGACTTTTTCTTCTACCCTTCTGCCGAAGTCTAGTCCTCAGCCTTCTGCCCCGGTTGCAAAAAGCCAATGCCGCCCGCTCACCACCTTTCTCGGTGCTTCCTAAATGAAAAGTATTGTCTTTACAAATTCCTGTACAATGATAAACGCTCCCAGGATCTATTACGCGAATCTTGGATCCTTGATTCCATTGGAAAAGAAGGTTACGAATTCTGTGGACCGACTACAGGACAAATATTTAAATTTTAAATGAGCTAAAAGCCAGCAAACGGCTATCCAGCAAAGTCCATCTCAAATATTTAAAATACTTGGGACATATTATGAGAGCAGACACAGAAAACATGAAAAGACTTATTATCCAAGGAAAGGTAGAAGGCCGAAGATCACGAGGGAAATCTTCAACAAGATGCTACGATCAAATTACAGGCATATGCAAAAGACCTATGCATAAGTTAAAAGAAATGACCGGAGACAGAGATCTTTGGAGACGAACAATACACGCCCCTACGATGATCACTATACTCCTTCTTGGGGGTCAGAATTGAAGGGAAAGAGGAAGAAAGAGATAGAGAGAGAGAGTACGAAGAAAAACCATACATTTTGTCAAATCTTATTTAAAAATTCCGCTAATATTTTTAAATTCTCTCTAATCAGAACAGATAAAACCGGATAAAAAAAAAAGAAACAGCAAATAATTCCCATTCGAAAGCAAATTTCTGCTAAAACAAAAAAACTCTCAAAGCTGTCTAGTGTACTATTTTGAAACGTAATATAATATGATCCATATTTTTGTGCCCTATAAGCTGTGAAATGTAAGGAAATGATTTTACCTAGTTACCCCAATTTAAGATCACAGTTAAATATATAACAGCAATGTGTATTAGTTTTAATAGCATTTATTCTTCCTAGTATGCCTCAACGGCCGCTTTTACTCTGCCTTTAGCAGTTCTGAAGTGTCGTATTGTTGTGTTTCCACTCTACTGCTTTTAATTTTTTAATCAGGACATGCGTTGAATCCCCGGTGCTCTTTTTTGTTAAATCTTCTCTTGTATAACCGATCGCATCATCTCTTATTTTTAATTTCTTGGTGTGTGACCTAAGTTACTCATTTTTCTTTAATTCATAGTGTTGAGTATTTCTTTTTTATCTTTCTTAAGGTTTCCGTGTTTGTTCCGAGTTGTGTCCATGATAGTTTCCACATTCTTCGATAATACCACATTTCAAAGTTATCAGGTCTTCTTTCAGTTGCATCCGTACTTGTCCAGGCTTTAATTCCATATAACAGGACACAGAATATGTAGCATCTCTTTTTTTTGCTGTAGGGTAAATACCCACACAGCCAGACACAAATTTTTAAAAACAGATACAGTACAAAGATTACACATGGATTACACTCTTCTCGCCCAGGGCCGAGATATATATATATATATATATATATATATATATATATATATATAATATAAATATATATATATATATATATATATATATATATATATATATATATATATATAATATATATATATATATATAGGTATACATACATTAAGGAAAGATCAGGTATCAACAAAGGTAGTTATTAAAAAAATCCACAAGGAAAATAATTCCTGTAGCTAGCTGTATATCACGTATCACAAAAAAAGGTAGATCTTTGTAAATAGGTATATTTAAAAATGGGCTACATCAATTACACGAACGTTTTTGGAATAATAATTCCATCATCAGGTTTTAAAATGCCTAAAATAAGTATAAATCATTTAGTTAAAGCAAACGTGGTTTAAAATTTTGAGTAAAGTGAAAAAAAGAGCAAGAGGTTATACTTACAAATTAACATGCCTGAGCCACCAAAATATCAGGGTAAAAACCCTTTAAAATACATATGGTTACAAAAGATTGTACATAATGATGTTAATCACATTTGATGTTTAATCTTAAATTAAATTTGACTTCAGGTAACATACACCCATGTCTTAGGTGAGTTCCAGTGGCTGGAACTCACCTAAGACACAAAGACTAACCACAAAGGTGGTTATATTTGTATATTCGTTGTTCTGACGAAAGAGAGCAAACAATCGTAAATTTCTTTTCTGTCTAAAGCAAGAAGATGCAGTATATTATATGGGCTTTCAATGTTTTATTTTAAAAGTTTACTGAAAACCTCATTAGATTGAGCTCTTTATTTTGAAAAATAAAAAAAGATGTGGTCCAGGTCACCGATTTTATTACAGGGTAACCTTGGAAATCTTTTTTGGGTGGTGCTAGAAAGATAACCAATGGAGACACTGCGGACGGCAGCCAGATGGTTGGTGGAGAGCGAGTCGTGGGTTCGAAACTAGCTTTTGGAACCGGGAATGGATCCAACGGAA